TAGGAAGTGATGGAGACAGGAGCCATGTTTTCACTCACTGAGCCAGGCGCCTCCCCTGCTTTCACTCTCTTCACAGCCTCCCCCCACCGCTGTCAGCTGCTTCACTTTCCTCCCCCTCCCCCTCTTCCCTTCCTGGTTGGCCCCCCTTCCTTCCTTTTGTCCATTCCTTGTTGCTCCTAAAGACAGACTTCCAAACCGGGGCTATTGTGCGGGTTTACTGCACCAGCTTCTGGGGAAATGGAACATTAGCCAGAATTTCAAAGGAGGAAAGTCCCAAAGTTTACAGGTTGGGAAGAGGCTTCCAAGTCTCTCGCCACAACAGCGCCTACTTGGATCCCTGCCTTGGTCTTTCTTCTCCAAGGCCAGGCTCACCAATCCACAACCTCATCCCGGAAAACCCCATTTCTATCACGTCCGTCAGCCAGAAGAGTTGAGAAAACATATTAAGGTCACATTCACGGACTGCAGCCTTGGGCACTGCAAAGCATAGAAGTCACTCCCTCTCAGAAAATCCTCCTCCTCCAATTATTGTAGAGACAGGAAATGTCAGCCCTCAGTCCTGCCATGGCCATTCTGGAGCCGGGAGAGAAAGAATTGATCAGTCTCTCTTCATGTCCAAAAATGTACAAATTGACCCAAGGGAGGGAGCCAATGCTCTCTTAGCATAATAGATCAAATAATTAATTAACACAAAATGAACGCAAAGTTCTGAAGCCTGGAGAATATGAATCTCCCATGGAAACTGACTTTTAAACTTTTTAAAATTGAAGTATAGTTGATTTACAATGTTGTGTGAGTTTCAGGTGTACAGCAAAGTTTCAGGTGAATATACATATTCTTTTTCAGATTTGTTTCCCTTAGAGGTTATTACAAAATATTGAGTATTGTTCCCTGTCCTATACAGTAGGTCCTTGTTGGTTCCCTATCCTATATATAGTAGTGTGTATATGTTAATCCCAACCTCCTAATTTATCCCTCCCCCTCTTACATTTTTAACCTCTAATATACCCTTAATGTCTTAGTGGTACATAGAAAAGAACATGTGTAACATGTATGTAAGCTACAAAGTATAACAAACAGCTGTGAACCTACCACTCACACCCTGAGTACTGCAACACATTACCCACCATCTGTATCCAACTGTCTTCCTCCCCTATGTATTTCCTGCCTCCCTCCCGGAAGCAACTTCTATCCTGAATTTTGTGTTTGCTATTTTTTCTTCATAGTTTTTGAGCTTTATAAAAAGAGAATCCTATCTTCTGAGACTTGATGTTTTTCATTCAGTTATGTTTCTAAACATCATTTGTGTTGCTGTGTGTTTCACCATTGTGCTCTAATCAACGAATGAACCTACTATTCTCTGGACGAGAGTTTTGGATGGATAACCTCTGTTGGCAGTTATTGCAAAGAGAGCTGCCGTCTCCTGGTCCCATGCAAGAGTTCACTCTTGGATCATAAAATACACAAATGTTTAACTCTCCAAAATAATGGAAAATGTTTTCCCAAAGAAACTGAGTTAATTTACATTCCTCTTATTATTACTGAGCATCTTTTCATATATTAATTCGCCCTTTATTTTCTCCTCCCTGGTGGAATACATATTCATGTTTGTTGCTCATTTTAAACATTATAGAATTGTTTGTATTTTTCTTTTCTAGATGTGGGAATTCTTTAATATTTTAGATACTAATCTTTTGTCATTTATATATCTTGCAAATATCTTTTAGTTTTTGCCTTATCTTTTCCCATGCATCTTTTGATGAACAGAACTTTGTATGTTTGACAGAACGTAGTCAAATGTATTAATATTTATTTTTGTTTTATTTAAGAATGTCTTCCCTACTCCAAGATTAGATAGGTAGTATTCTATATATCTTCTCAAAGCATTGCTTTTCTTTCCTACAATCTAATATATCTAAAACTGCCTTTGGGAATTGTTTGACTTAGGGATTCAGTCTCATTTGTTTGGGATTCCATACAGTTGAGCAATTTGCCCAAGTACCATTCTTTGATTTTCTTCCTCCTTTCCCCTACAGATCTGCAAAGCTACTTCTATCACATATCAAAAATCATGTACGCATGGTATTCCTGGGCTGTCTGTTTTGCTCCGTTGCTAGATTGTCAATCCCTGTCCCAATATCACACCATTTTCTTTTCCATTGCTTTACAATGTCTTTTTTTTTGCGGTACGCGGGCCTCTCACTGTTGTGGCCTCTCCCGTTGCGGAGCACAGGCTCCGGACGCGCAGGCTCAGCGGCCATGGCTCACGGGCCCAGCCGCTCCGCGGCATGTGGGATCTTCCCGGACCGGGGCCCGAACCCGTGTCCCCTGCATTGGCAGGCGGACTCTCAACCACTGCACCAACAGGGAAGCCCTCATTGTAGTTTTGATTTGCATTTCTCTAATGATTAATAATGTTGAGCATTCTTTCATGTGAAACACTGCTTTTCATTAGAAGGTCAGGAAGGGGGCGTGCGTAGCATTTTTCCAGGAAGGATGGTAACATCTCACCAGTGTTTTTGTTTGTTTGTTTGTTTGTTTTCCGCCCGTCCCTGCACTGAATATGCACCACTGGTACAAGCAGTTGCTAATCAGTCAGGAGATATTTCTCTGGTTACCCATGCTGTCTGGTTTCTCTGGACAGCACTTCTTATCTGAACTGAAAAGGGCTGCTGCTTCACATTTGCTTTCTAAAAGTCTCTTGCAAAATGTCTCTTCCGGCCCACGCTACCCTGGATCCATGCAGGGAAGGACGTTCTTGGAAATATAGTTCCAGCTTAGCTAAGTCAACACAAGCCCAAAACTTATGTTCACCTTTTTGTTTATCATTTGTTCTTGCATCTCAGACTATCCCTCTAGGGCCATTCTCCCTCTTCTCGAAGTATGTACTTTAATGATACTTTTAGTTCAGGTATCTTTTCTTTTTTTTATTGAAGTATAGTTGATTTGCAGTGTTGTGTTAACTTCTGACGTACAGCGTAGTTCAGGTATCTCGATGGCAGATCCTCAGTTTGTAGCCACACTTGACTTCATTACTGAAAGAGAGTTTTTCTGAGCATAGAATTCTAGTTTGAAAGTTATTTTGTCTCAAAAATCTGAAGATACAATTATATTGGCTTTGGCTTCCATTGATGCCGTTGAAAAGTCCACTTCTCATTCTAATTGTTGTTATTTTGTAGCGATCGCCACTTCTCTCTGACTGCTTTTAAGATCTTCCCTTGCACTTCCATGTTCTGTAGTTTTGAAATATTGTAGCCAGTTGTGACCACTTTTAATTTATCCGGCTTATCCAAACATGCTTCCAGGCTCTGGACGCACTGGTTCAGCGGCCATGGCTCACGGGCCCAGCCGCTCCGCGGCATGTGGGATCTTCCTGGACCGGGGCCCGAACCCGTGTCCCCTGCACCGGCAGGCGGACTCTCAACCACTGCGCCACCAGGGAAGCCCTGTTTAATGATTCTTAAACAGATGTTTCTAGTGCATTCTTACAGTTGAATTGTACTCCCCCAAAAGATACGAACCCCCAGTGACTCAGAATGTGACCTTACATGGAGATAGGGTCTGGACAGAGGTTATTAAGTCAAAATAAAATGATCAGGGTAGGCTGTAATCCAATATGACTGGTGTCCTTATAAAAAGGGGAAATTTGGACACCGAGACAGACACTCACAGAGGGAAGGAAAATGTGAAGACACACATGAAGATGGAGGATTAGAGTGAGGTGTCTACACGCTAAGGGATGGCAAAGGACGCCAGAAAAGTACCAGCAGCTAAGAAGAGGCAAAGGAGGATTTCCCAGCAGGCTTCATTGGAAGCGTTGCCCTGCAGACACCTTGATTTCGGTCTTCTAGCCTCTAGAACTGTGAGACAATAAGTTTCTGTTGTGAAAGCCACCAGTTTGTGGTTATTTATTTATTTATTTTATTTTTGGCCTCGCTGGGCGGCATGTGGTATCTTAGTTCCCTGACCAGGGATCGAACCTGTGTCCCCTGCAGTGGAAGCATGGAGTCTTAACCACTGGACTGCCAGCGACATCCCTGTGGTACTTTGTTATGGCGGCCCCAGCACACAGATGTAGGGGGCCGTGATGGCCTGGAATAGCGCTTCCACAACACAGGGCTGTGGGGATGAGAGGCACTGGCCGCCTGCCCTTTCTGGGGCTGAAATGGCAAACGGCGGGGAGCTGAGGGGAGAGGGGTCCCCCATCTTCTTGGCTGCATTCACTCAGGATAGCGCATCTGGAGCAGAGTTTCCATCACATGGAGCAGGGGATGGGGAAGGGAGGGGAGCACATGGAGGTTCAAATGCCACAGACTCATTGTTCTTAGAGACTTAGTAGGCTTTTCTAGAATAAATGCTTCTCCACTTCCTGTATGCCCTCAGAACAATTTCCAGAAACTTTCAATGGTTGGTTTTTAGTATCTTTCATCAGTTAAGTGGTTGTGTCACTGGGGAGGGGCGTCCGCCAAGCTCCTCCTGCCGCCCTTCTGGAGGTGATAGCTATTGCCATTTTAGCTGCTTAGGAGAGAAAAAGCTTCAGCTCACAGAGGAAGATCCCGTCATTCTGCTTCCTCTTCCTCCCCAGTGGGGCCAGAGTCTTCCCTCCGCTCACCCCCTACTTAAAATGGAGACCACCAACACCACGACCCAGGTCTCTGCCCCTCTGCAGAGCAGCAGCAATAAGGCAGAGGAAGCCCTCGACCCTGGTCATGCAGAGGGCTTGGTGTTGGCCTGACCCAGAGGGTTCCCGGGGGAGTATGACTTCCGTGAGGCAGGCGGCCACTCCTGGGAAAGGGCGTAAAAGGGAGTGACCAGAAGGGACACGAGTGTCGCTGGGTTTCACCACACGTGGGGACAGGGCGAGGGAACAGGGCAGCTGGATTAGCGGCCCAAAGCCAGGGCCCCCTTCCGTATATAAATGACCCCTCAGTGATCCTCATTAATGGGTATTTTCCTCTCTCTCCTCTCTCTCTTTAAAAGACACTATCTTCCTCAGTCCAGCACTTTGAGATGAAATGGTTTATTTAATTCAGAGACCAAATGTAGAGATGGTACAAGCCGAGGCCAGTAGGTCCATCTGGTGCAGAACCAGGAAGTGTGTCCCGTGCTCCCAGCCTTTCTTGGTCTTAATCCTCTCCGAGGGCTCTTTGCTAGGTGTCCCCTCACTGCCCCAGGGATGCCGCTGGCTCAGGGGACCGTGTTGTAGACCTTGTAGTTGTCCTCCTGGGTGATATGCAGCTTCCAGGGGAAGAGGTGCTTCTGGGAGGGGAGACCTTGGGTCCACTTCACCATGAGCCTCACATCCTCGTCTGATAGCAGCCGAACCAGATCCCCCTCGGCATCCTGATAATTGAGGGCGATGTCCTCCCTCTGGAACTCCCGCCTGGGTGGGAGAGATCAGGGTTCAGGAAAGGTCCAGCGGCCTTAGGCCTAAGCGTGGGGGTAGGGAGAGGGGACAGAGGGAGTTTTAGGGTCGGGATCTAAAAATCAGAAGAGGTCAGAGCTGGACACCAGCCCTGTCATCCGAGTGGTCCAACCTCCTACTATACAGATGGGGAAACTGAGACCTCCAGGGGACAACGGGACTTTCACAACAAATTAGTGGTGCAGCTTGAAATGACTTGTGCATAAATGTGCTGAAGACGTAAGAACCGTCATAGGGAAGAAGAGCGGGTTTTGCTGGGCGCAGAGTAGAGCAGAAAAAAGCCCCTGTGTGTGGCTATGGAGAAGAACCTTTTAAGGATTGGAACCGTCCCACCTGGGGTGCAGGTAGATGGGCGAAAAGCCATCCAATTTTCCATAGGTAATCTGACAAAATGGGTCAGAAGCCCCATCAGACTTGCAAACACCTTGATCCCCAAATCTCACTTCTAGAAAGTCGTCCTAAGGAAATAATCAGGCAAGTCAGCAAATATGTGAATCCCAGCACTACTGACAGTAGTAAAAACGTGGAAGATAACTTCAATGGCAACAGAAGGGGATGTGGCTACATTAGTTACCGTGCATCCGCAGAACGATGCTGTGCAGCCAATTAAATAATATTTAAGGGGGAGCGGGGTGCAGGTGGGGTGTGTGCTGAAGAAATCTGAATGCGTATCAGATAATGAGAGGAGCAAAATGCGAGGGGATTTCACCGCTTTACGTTTTCTGTGATTTCTGACATTCTTTTAAAAAAATAATGAATAGATATCGATCGCTTTTGCAGTCAGGAATATAACGATGCTATTTCCATTCTGTAAAATGACTGTTCATAACTCAACTGGATCTTGGGAGGTGGTGGTTCCCTGAGGGCGGAGGGTCCAAGTCCAAGGTTTTGAACCTAGAGAGACTTTAGCAAATCCAGGCCCACAAACTGTAAGCCCCTTTACCTCTCTGCAGCCCCCCACTCATCTCTAATGTGGAGAGGCGACACCCACCCCTCAGGGCTGGGCTGTGGATAAAACAAGAAGGCGAAATAGTTGCAGAACCCCCAGCCCCTGAATGCACTGTTTCCCCTTCTGTTCTCTCCTCCAGGGTGTCGGACGCCCCCAGCGCCTCCCACCCCAGCCCCTCACCTCATGAGCTCCAGCAAGTCCTTGAAGAGCGGGGTGCTTTTGAGGTCTTCCTCCACTGCGATGTCCCTAAGGGGACAAGGGGCAGGGGTGAGGAGGCCGCAGGCTGGAAGGGGGAGAGGCGGATGAGGCTGGCCAGGTCATGCTGGAGCATGGGAGCCCCTGCGGGCTTTTAAGTGTGTGTGTTTGGTGGGGGGACATGCGATCTGGTTTGCGTCTTAGAGCCCAGAGTGTGATATGGAGGTGGGGGAGGGGTGGGGAGGGGCAGGGAGGCTGGACAGGCCCCTCCCTCCCAGCAGGCCACTAACTTGATGGTGCTGATGGTGTCCTCATAGTAGTAGCAGCGTAGCCAGTTGGTGGGGTCCTCCTCCTCCGGGAAGTCCTTGAGGATCTTCACAAAGGACACCGGGAAGATGCCTGTGGTTCCCCGGACAGTGCCCTGCGGGGGCGGGAGGGGGAGAAGGCACTGCCCTGCCTGGTATCAGCAGAGGCAGCGGGGGCCATGCCCCGGGGACCCGCCCCTTTATAATGACAGGACAGGCGGATGAGCTCTGGGTCCCCTCAGGCAGAGGGAGGAGAAAAAGTGGGCAAGGTCACCAAGCTGTTCACCCCAAGGCATCCATTTTAGAACAAGTTAAGACCTGAATTTATCTGGAAAGTTGCTTTCACCTCAGTCATTGATTCACTCAGTCATTCATTCAAAGGCTTCTTGAGTGCCAGCTACGGAGCAGGCTCTGGGCACTCAGAAGGGATGAAAATCCCTGCCCTCCCCCCTGGAGCTTCCAGGGTGATGGAGGGCAACAGACAATGCACAGGTAAACAGGTGGACCTCACGGGGACTCAGGTGGTGGTAGGCGCTCAGGGAGAAAACTGTGGGGGGAGGGGGGAGGGGGGAGGGAGGGGTGGGGCCAAGTCACTCATTTGTCCACGGATTCCATCTGCTCTAGACCAGACCGCCAGAAATCTCCCTCCAGCCAGGCCTCTCTCCTAAACTCCATCCAAGACCCAGCCACTGCCTGTGCTTTGTCACCTGTTCTCTTAACCTTCGCAATACTATGGAAGACATATTGTTTCCGCCCCCTTTTACAGACGTATAAACTGAGGCTGAAGTGCTACCCTCACTCCTCCCCAACCCTCCCTTCCATCTGAGGCCAGAAGTCGGCCAGCATACTGACTCATAGAACCTTCTAGAAAACAAGAAGTCAACAAACATTTCCTGTTTCTGGAGAATGACCCAGCAATACCCCTCAGCTGTAACAGCTTGTAGACTGCCTGAGACAGAACTCCGGGACTGGCGTAAAATCAAAACCGCGAAGTTGCGAGACCAACGGTTGGTCCACACTCCTCTCCAGCCCCTGGATGCCGGGGACCCTCCCCTTCCCTCAAGGATTCCAGGACCCCCGGGGGCTGGCCCTGCCTCCTGTGCCATGACCTCCTTCACACACCCCCCCCCAGGAGCCCTGAGAAAAGAGAGTCTTTCATAACTATAGGACTTAATCCAAAAGGCTGGCACCAGGCCAGGGCCTCCCACCCGGTGACCCCCGTCCCCCACCTCCAGTCATGCTATGAACCCTTGTATGGGTCACGCTTGCCGTGTGCAGGGACAAAGCATGGCCAAGATGCCACACGCCCAGGCTCCCTATGGGCCGAGCCCTGAACAGCAGCGCCTCCTTCAACCCTTCCCGGAAACCTGTGAAGAAACGGCCACTGTTAGTTGTCTCCATGGGAGACAACAACTTCCCCTTTATGGGAAAGGAAACCACGGGGTTGAGTAAGTTTCCCAAAGTTGCAAAGCTAGTTAAAAACAGAGCTAGGATGTCACGCCAGACTCTGGAGCTCAAGTCTCCCTCATCACCTTCACCCGCTCCCTGCGTGGTGAGTAACGTTACCCCAGATTACGGACAGTGCGTCTCAGCTGGGTGTGATTCTGCCCCCCAGGGCCAGAGGTCTGGGGACACATTTGATTGTTGCATCTGGAGGGGTGCTACTGGCATCTAGTGGATGGGGGCCAAGGACGCCGCTAAACACGCCGCAGTGCACAGGTCAGCCCCCCAACAGAGATCTGCCTGGCCCCAAATGCCAGTAGTGAACAGGCTGAGATACCCTGTTATAGACCAAGAAATTCAACTCAGAAGGTTAACTGACTTGCCTAAAGCGACCGTTGGTTGGGGTCAGTACCAAAGGCAAGGGTAGGCTCAGAACCCGCTGCTCCAGCCACACACAGCTGTATCTCCTCAGGCTTCCCCGGTCCACCTGCCCAGATCCCCAGGACTACCTTTGGACAGCATCTCTTCCCTGGGGCCTTCTCAGATACCTCCATGTTCTCTGATCCCCTCACAGACTTGAAGTGACTTCACCTCCAACTTAACTTCTACCTCACCTCCATCCTCACCTCCAACCTCACTTCCATCCTCACCTCCATCCTCACCTCCAACCTCACCTCAATCCTCACCTCCATCCTCATCTCCATCCTCACTTCCATCCTCACCTCCATCCTCATCTCCATCCTCACCTCCATCCTCACCTCCATCCTCACCTCCAACCTCACTTCTATCCTCACCTCCATCCTCATCTCCATCCTCACCTCCAACCTCACCTCAATCTTCACCTCCATCCTCATCTCTGTCCTCACCTCCAACCTCACTTCCATCCTCACCTCCATCCTCATCTCCATCCTCACCTCCATCCTCATCTCCATCCTCACCTCCAACCTTACCTCCATCCTCACCTCCATCCTCACTTCCAACCTTACCTCCAGCCAGTCTTTGTTGATCCGACTGAGAAGAAAGATCACATCTCCAACTTTGAAATTCAGCTCCAGTTTGCTGTTCCCAGTGAAGTCAAACAGGGCCTGGGGAGAAGGTGGAGTGAGGAGGGAGGGAGGAAACATTCACTGAGCTCCTGCTAAAGTGCTTACATGCTTCAGCATCCCATTTAACAGATGAGGAAACTGAGGCTCAGAGAGGATAAGTGACTAGTCTGAGGCCACTCTGTTTGTTAGCGGAGGAGCCGGGTTTAGAACCCATGTCTCCCTGACTCCAGAATGGTGCTCCTTCCAGGCCTGCCAGGATAAGCATGAGAGGGAAGGGGCCAGACTCCATGGACTGGGCAACTCCCCATCCCCCAGGCCTCACTGGGGACTCCAATGCCCCCATAACCCCTAGGGCATTGACCACACTGGTTTTGAAATGCCCATTTCTAAGGGTACATCCCTGGGGAGCTGTGTGAGCCCCTTGAGGACAGGGCCTGGTCTGAGTCACCTCTGAAGCTTCAGTCCCCAAGGCAGGGCTGACCCAGAAGAGCTTGCTGAATGAATGATGGATGGGTGGATTCCCCTTTGCCTCTGTGTGCTCCTCACATGCCCTCCCCTCAGCTGGCTGGGAGTCCTCAGGCATCCAAGGCCACGGTTGTGGGTCCTTCCACCCACCCCCCCCAATACCCAGCCGCATCCTGGGCACACAGCGGGCGCCAGCAGGACGGGCTCAGTGGCTGAAGGGTGGAGCTAGGCTGCTGCCCAGTGGTGAGGTACCTCCGCTCGTGGAGCTGCCATGCGATCAAAGCCGGCGCCTTGTGGGGACGTGCTCTTTCTGTGGAGAGAGAAGAGGGGCTTGTCACCTCTCCTGCTTCTGTGCCCGGAGGAGACCTTCAGCAGAGGCAGGAAAGGCAGGGGAGGGAGAGGGTGTTAAAGATGCAGCTACAATTGCTCCTCTGGACCAGCACACTCCCCACAGCTTTCACTGTCCTGGAGGAGGATTGCATCCCCTTCTGTGGACCAGGAGGCATAGGCTCAGATATACATTTGCTTAGTGCCATAGCTTGCCAGCCCTTTCACATTACTCCCACACTCAACCCCTAATTTTTCAGCTGAGGAAATGGGCTTCAAGAAGTGCTGAGCTCCACCCCAGGACACAGGGCTGCTGTGGGGCACAGCTGGCATTCAGAGCACACCTGCCTGGGTGCACAGGGGAGATGGCCAGGCACCACACAGAGAGGACGCTCAGAGATACTGGCCAGAGGGAGGAGGGAGGAGTTGTGTGGGAGGGCGGGGCTCAGGAGCCCTGCCCTGGAATTCTTAGCACCAGCAACCTCTTGTTTGGAAGCCCAGCCCTATTTCGGTGGCTTGGATTTTTGAAGACTTTTTCCAGCTTAGGAGGGGCTGGAGGGAGCTGCGGGCCCTTTGGAATAAGGGAGTGAGTAGCAGCGCCCCCTGGGGACCAGTGTGATACACCAAGGAGGCACAGCCGGCCCCATGGAACAAAAACCAACCAGGGACAAGGCATCCCGGGAGAGGCTGGGAGGAGTGTTTGCAGACAGAACGATCCCTCCTCCCTTCCCTCCTCCCTACTCCCCCCAGGCACCCAAAGCCCTCGGACCATCCCCAGTGGTTGTGAGGCACTAAGCTCTCCCCTGTCAATGGCCCAGCCCCCGTCCTCCAGCCCTTACTGTCAAACACACTTTCTGTCCTCTAGGCCCTACGCTTGATTTCCCAAGCTCACCTAACAAGCCAAACCACCCCGGAGTGCTTAGGTATAGACCTGGCCTCTACTCCTTGCTTCTTTCAGGGAAAATAAGAGCCTTTGCCGCAGAGGCCTCTGGGACAGAGCGCCTGGTTAGGAGCAAGTGGCCCAGGGCTCTAGCTGATGAGGGCACAGGGGCCGGTCACTTACACTTTCCGGGTGCGCGGGCGGAGCCGTCGGAGAGCCTGGGGCACCTGCTCCGCGTCATAGGACGACTGGTAGAAGAAGATGCGGACGTCCTCATCCATCAGCACCCAGATGGGCAGGCTGAGGAGGTGCTGCGTTTGGGGAGGATGCAGGACAGGTGGGGTGGTCAGCAGAAAGCTCTCGACATCGCAGCCCAGCTGCTCCATCCCCGTCCCCCATGCTGGGCCCACCTCTCTCCACTAATGGTCCTCTGCCTGATAACAAGTAAGACATATTTTAAAATCTCAGTAGGCTGAGGGTAACACGTCACAAGATTTGCCCCTGGGTTCAAGGTCAGGAGGGGGCCAACTTGCTTGAGAACTGTTCATTTGGAAAAGACCCAAAGGCCTTCAGACATGACGATAATGGTGACGACAGGTAACGTGATGTGGTGGTGACTGTCCAGGCACTGCACTGAGTGCCTCACGGTGTGACCTCGCTCCATCTAACAATAACCTGGGAGTGAGGGCCAGAAAGGTGAAGGGGCCTGCCCAGGGCCACACAGCCTAGCGAGTGACACCCAGAGCCGTCTGCCACCAAGGCTCATCCCTTACATCAAAGCGAGACAATGGTGGGGGACGTATTCCCCAAATAACCCAAATTAACAACAGTTAGTGGAATTACAGCCTAAAAACATGCTTCCTGATACTTCATCTCATATCACAGTTGGGGAAACTGAGGCTCAGGGTGAGAAAGTGCCCGGGCCCGTGGGCAGAGCTAGGAAGTGGTGGGGTCGGGACTCTCAATCAGATGCTGGTTACACCCACCACAATGCAACGACCCTCAGGCTGTGAGGATGCAGAGCGCCCGGGACCTGCCAGGGTCATCCCCCCAAGCTGCCCGCTGCACGGGTCCCCAGGAGCACTGTGATTGGCTTTGAGCGCTACAGCTCCAGAGGCACCCAGACCCCCTCAGAGAATTCCACGGGGGCAGCAGCATGGGGAGGGGCGGGAACTCCTCTCCAGAGGAACTGGGAACGCAGAGCCTGGAAAAGACACAGTTGTCCTATAGGGAGGGCAGGGGGCCAGCCCAGAGATGGGCCCAAGGGCACAGAGAGAGGCAGGTGATGCCCGGGGTGGCATCCCAGCTCTGCCGCCCATCTGCGTGACGTGGAGCAGGGGTGCCTCTGTATGTTCATTAATACAATGGAGGTGATATTATTTCCCCCGTGGAATTGTGTAAAGATTAAATAATTGAATACGTGCAGAACACTTAGAACAGCATTGGGCGTCTAGCAAGGGCCCTATCCAAGCTGGATATTATCATCGTTGCTGTTACTTTTATTACAATACAGCACAGTGGGAAAGAGCACAACCCTGGAGTCACAGAGATGTGGGTTCAAATCCCATCCTACCACATATGTACACTACCAGATGTAAGATCGATACCTAGTGGGAAGCAGCTGCATAGCACAGGGAGATCAGCTCGGTGCTTTGTGACCGCCTGGAGGGGTGGGATAGGGAGGGTGGGAGGAAGGGAGATGCAAGAAGGAAGAGATATGGGAACATATGTATATGTATAACTGATTCACTTTGTTATAAAGCAGAAACTAACACACCATTGTAAAGCAATTATACTCCAATAAAGATGTAAAAAAAAAAATCCCATCCTACCTACCTAACTGCTCTGTGACACTGAGTGAGTGACTCTACCTCTCTGTGCCTCCATTTCCTCACTTTAAAATAGGGATAAGAGTATTGAACTCACAGGTTATTGAGGGAATTAAATAAGCCTATTTATTTATCCAATAAATGTATAACAAGAGCTTCCTTGTTGCCAGTCAGAGCACTCCACATAGTTCTAGGCAATTGTCATTGTCACGTGAGCCTTATTCTTCATGAGCACAGAGGTGAGACCGGTGGGTAGAAGTCACAGGGAGTCGGGCTTTTCTAATAGCTGTCCAACAATGGACGAGCAGCCTGGGTCAGGGGAGAGTGGTAGTGAGCTCCCCGTCTCTGACTGTTTCAAGCCCAGGGTGAGGTTCCCATAGTACTGATTGACCTCTGAGCTTCGAGGAACCCACTCAGACACAGACAGGCAGAGATGAGATCCTTCAGGCTGCTGGTTGCCAAGACCAGGCGTGGATGGAAGAGCTCCAGCTCCACAGCCCCTGCTCCCTCCTTCCAGCCCCGCTGGAGGAGAGTGGAGCCGCCGGCTGCCCAGAAGGAGCAGCTGTCACAGCGCCCCCTGGAGGGGAGATGCCTCCAGTACTGGAGCCCGTGGGCTTTCCCACCCTACCTCTCCTCTGCCCAGAGCCCAGGATTCCTGCAGCCACTGGGGAGGGCAGGCGGCCACCTCCTCCCTCCCCCATCCCCTTTATACTCCTGGGGTCCCCTCATTCCACTAGGAGTCATGCTCTCTCACATTCTGGAAGCAGGTTCACAGTTTACAAAGCACCTTCCTGTCCTTTTCTCAATAGATCCCAACATCACTCCCCTCCTGTGAGACAGGAGAGCTGGGGGCATGGCTCCATTTCATAGGTGAGAAAACCAAGTCCTAGACAGAATGAGCAAATAGCCCTAAATCACCCACTCAGTGTCAGAGCAAAGACCAGAGCACTTAGCTCGGTGCTCTTTTCCCGTAAGAGTAGAACAGGGAGGCCTCACTGTCTGTGACGATGCCTCTGGGCTATGAAGAGGGCTTCTCGCCCCAGTTTCCTAAGGTTGTCATCAGGCCAAGGTTTGCATGCCTCTAGTGATAGGGTGCTCACTACCTCATGAGGAAAACTATCCCTCTCTTGCCCAGCTCTAATTGGTGGAAGGCCTTTCCTGACCAGCCTGGCTCTCTGCCTTTAAGATGTTCCTTCCTCTGTGTTCCCGTCTTCTGAGGAGGTAGACAGTTTATAGGTTGGGGAATACACACGGGCATCCATCCAAGGCCCATGCTTGCAACTAAAATCCAGCCTGTGGCCTGTTCATACAGAGGTGCTATGTGAGAAAGCCGGGGCCTTGGTCTGCCGTGCCCTTCTTATACAGACCGTATCCCTTTATGGTTTCATGACCCACCTGTCTGTATTCCCCCTGGACAGCGGGGACCTTGGGGCAGGCACTGGCTCCTATTCTCCTCTGCACCAGGACACCCGGCACAGCCATTAGATTTGTCAGTTCAAAGTGTGGCTCTCTGAACTTTCTCCATTGCTCCTGTCCCATCCCCCGGAACCCTGAGGACACATCCTGTTTCTCTCCCTAGGCTTGGCCTTTAAGGATTGAAGATGGGGACCATCAGAGCAGAAGAGCCAGCCCTAGTTCCCAAAGCCAGGCCCAGGGATGGTACCTGGGCCCCGCCCATCGTCAGCATCCTGGGCCCTCCCATGGGCCACCTGGCCTGGCCCCTCTGTTACCTTCATATAGGCGTTGAGGGCGGGTATCCGCATCTCGGCAATCTCCTGTTTCACACCCACGTAGACTTTGGCTGAGGAAACACAAAGAGCTGTCCTGGGAATCTGACCCAAGAGTGTGGCCTCTGGGCCCGGAGCTGCCCACCCGGGCCAGGAACCCTCCACACTGGCTCAGCGCTTTTCCCTTTCCTCTTCCCACAGCACTGCGGTGGCCACCATCCAACGTGCATTTTCTGAGTTGTACTATCACCAGTTGATATTTTTCTTGTTTTAATTGTTTATGTATTGCCTGTTCCTACACACACACACACACACACACACACACACAATTCTTCGCTCTGAGAGAACAGGATCTTTGCAATGCTCACAGCTGTGTTCTCATCACCCCGGCTGCACATTCGTGTCACCTGAGAAGCATTTAAAATCTCATTGCATAGGACTCACCCCAGAACAATTAAATCAGAATCTCTGGGAGTGGGACTCGGGCATCAGGATTCTTCTTTTTTTTTTTTTGCGGTATGCGGGCCTCTCACCTCTGTGGCCTCTCCAGCCGCGGAGCCGTACCGGCAGGCTCAGCGGCCATGGCTCACGGGCCCAGCCGCTCCGCGGCACGTGGGATCCTCCCGGACCGGGGCACGAACCCGCGTCCCCTGCATCGGCAGGCGGACTCTCAACCACTGCGCCACCAGGGAAGCCCATCAGGATTCTTTAAATCTCAAGGTACTTCCAATATGTCACCAAGGTTAGGAACCATGGTGTAGAATAATGCCCAAATCAATAAAATATTTGTGCAGTGGATGAGTGAATCATTCTTCACAAGCAAGGCATAGTGTTTGTGGGGAAAGGGAAAGCGATGACGGCTGACCAAAGACAAGTGTCCTCTCCAGGAGCCTCAGGTGGGGGTCCTGGGAGAACTGCCCACCCAGAGAGCCCCCCAGAAAGCGAATGTGAGACGGTCGGCTTCCTGCTGCCCGCTGCCTGTGAGACACACCGGCTGGTGTCTGGCGGTGTAAGGAGGGTAGCGTCTGAGGTCTGGGGTAGAGAGAGACATTGGGGAATTAGTAGCCAGAAAAGGGCAGTTAAAATCACAGGCACGGGTCAGATTGCCTATGGGGGAGTGAGAAGACAGAACTGAGGATGACGGTACAGAGGATGCCCGCCTTCCAAGGAGCACCAGAGGAGGCAGAGATCTTTGAGGGGCCTCGGGGCTCAAGGAGGCTTGTGGCCGGAATGCCCACTTAGGGCACGTGCTTGTTTAAAGATGGAAGAGAACCGAGCCCTCCCGTGGCGAGGATTGGCAGAGAATCAGAAGATAAAGGAGAAGGTGAGTCTACAGGGAACGCATGGGACAAGCTGTTAGGAGGAGAGGTCAGCTGAGATCAAGAGGGACCCCTCCTCCCTGCTGCTCGGAGAGGGGGAGGGGGCGGTGCGGGGCCAGGGAATGGGCGAACCCCTAGGAGACAGTCTCCTCCCTGGGGCTGGATGCTGGACACTGGAGGCAGGGAACCTCGGGCACTGGCTGAGGCAGAGAAGAAAGCAAGCTGGAGGCAGGGTTTGGACTTTGAGGAAGGGAAGGTCAGGAAGTGTCTTTGCTGTTTAGGGGAACGGTGATTGGATGCAGCCTGCAGCGTGTGCAGGGCACAGCCAAGACCACTCCGTGGACCCGAACCCCCACTCTGGTGGAGTTTTCTCCTGCTGGGCTCATGCAGGCTGGCCTTGAGAAGCCAGAGGTTTGGGCCTGTCCAAGGTGAGGACGGAGCAGGGGAGGCAGGTCAGGAGACAAGGGGTGAGGGGACTGTCCAAAAGCAGAGGTGCGCGCCCACAGCGTCCCAGCAGAGCAGGGAAGCAGGGGGAGCCGCGGGGACCTGGGGAGTGAGAGGGCAGCTCCCGCACAGGGGACAGAGGGAGGGCTGGAAGATGAGTCTGTGTTTAACGTGGGAGACGCGGGGATTCCTGTCTCGAAGAGGAGAGGCCCGGGCTGATGCGCTCCGAAGCTGGCGGTGGATCGCTGAAGCAGGGCGGCCGTAACGCTCATTGGAGAGCAGGGGGTCAAGGGCTGTAAGTCCGGAGCGCCAGAGGAGGCAGCCCATGGCTGGCAGGAGGGGGGCCGTGGACTAAATGAACGGTTTTCACTAAAATAGAAGGGTTTGTGCCAAAATAGAAGCACCGATCAGCGCCCGCAGAGCTGGGAGGAGAGGCTGGCGGGCGCCGCTCCATCCTGGGGCAGCCCGTTGGTGGCCTACCTGGGAGCGTGGGAAGGACGCAGGTGTAGGGGCTGGCCTTGTTCTCCGGCCCGAAGCGCTCCTCCAGCTTGCTCTGCAAGGCGTAGAACTGGCGGTAGCGGCGGTAGATGAGGTACTTAGACCCCCCTTTCGTCTTCACCTCGATGACAAAAACCTAAGGAGGACAGAGGCCAGGGGGTGGGGCCTCGCAAGCCAGGGGGTGGGGCCTCGTAGGCCAGGGGGTGGGCCTTTGCAGACCAGGGGGTGGGGCATCGCAGGCCAGGGCCAGAGCAGGGGAGAGGTCCACAGGTCCTAGGGTCAGAGCAGAATTTCTCGACCTTGGTATCACATGTGAGGCCAGGTAATTCTTTGTCGTGGGGACTGTCCGGTGCACCGCACTGCGTGAAGCAGCATCCCCGGACTCCAGGCAGTAGACGCTCTGCCCCAAGCTGTGATAGTCAAACCTGTCTCAAGACATTCACTGCCAAGCGTCCCTTGGACGGCACAATCGCCCTGTTGAGAACCCCTGGGATAGAAGTGAAGAGAGGAGAGCGCTGGAGGCTCAGAGGTCAGAGGGTGAAGGTCCAGGGGTGTCTCTTACAAAGTGGCTGGTGAAGCCTTTCTTCTCCTCGATGTCGGCGATGTTGGCTGAGGTGGCAATGTCGTCGGGAAGCTGGTTGAAGTCGCTGAGGGAGGCGGGAGGAGAAGAAACCCTGGTCATCACCCTGCTGTGTTGGGTGGCCCCTGGGTGTGAGGCCCCGTGCAAAGTGAACCCGTGTACCTGCATTACCCCGTTCAACACCCCTCTCGTGCCAGGCAGCGACACAGACCAGACCTTGACAGTGAAGGCATTTGGAATCGGAGCCATATATCAACAGCCATAGGAGAGTCTAGCAAATCGCTTTGGGGCTGCGTTATTCATCCGGGAACAGGGAATCAAGCACCCCTGCCTATCAGACCCTGTTCTAGGCCCTGGATCACAGGGGTAAACAAAGTCAACACACACCTCCCAGAGAGAATGGCTCATTATACCCGGGGGAAAATCCTCACAGAGGAGGTGACATTGGAGCCAGGTCTAGAAGGTTGAGTAAGAGTCCACCAGGTAGGACCGGGGAGGGGGAAGGGCCTTCCGGCAGAAGGAACAGCATGTGCTAAGGGTCTGAGGCCCCAGGAGTGGTTCCAGGTCTAGTGTGGCTGGAGTCTGGTGTGATCAGAGACTGAAGAGGCGGATGAGGCCAGGTTGAGGAGGGTCTCCAGTGCTGAGTTGAGGAGTTTTATAGGCAACGGGGAGCCATGTAAAGCTTCAGAAGAGAGTGAAAACACAATAGGACCCCGGCTTTAGGAAGCCATCTGGGGTGGCTGCATGGAGAGGAAAAGGAGGGCAGAGACTGAAGGGACAGAGCGCCCCTGGGATGCCCTGAAGGGGTCCAGCTGAGAGGAGATGTGTCCCTGAGCCAGACAGTGGGGACGGGAGGAGAGGACAGACACAAGGGACACCACCCTTGGCAGGCACTCTTCCATTTTTGTGTCCCCTGCTTCTTCCTGCTAATCAAGCTCCATTTTTTTTCAGGGTGGCAATGCCTAGCCCCAAGGTGATCGATGACCATTGGTCTGAGCCAAACATCCTAATCCCATTGCTGTTTCCCAGACCCCCTTGCAGCTAGGAGCAGCCCTACGAGCAGTTCTGGCCAATGAAACCTAAGAGGAAACCTAGAGGCTGTAGCAGCCTCTAGGAGAGTGTTCACTTCAAGATCCAGAGGATTGGACAAGGCTAGCATGGTCTCCTGCCCTTTCCCCTTCTGCCTGCCTGGAAAGCAGGTGAGACATCTGGAGCTGCAGCAGCCACATTGCATCCATGAGGCAAAACCATGAGACTGATCACAGGAATCTCTGGAACGCTGGTCCTGAAGTCACTGAGCTGCAGAAGCAGCTGTGGCCTCTACGTCTGGACTTCTCGTTATGTGAAAACATAAACCCCTGTTTGTTTCAGCCACTATCAGTTCCTCTGTTCTCTGCAGCCTTATGCATATCTGACAGACACACTACTACTTTGTGAGTCATTCCAGAGTTACGACCAGCAGGGTTTGGAGACGGTTTGGACGTGGAGATGAAAGAAAGGGCAGTGTCAGGAGTGACACCCACATGTCACCCGTATTCTGACCAGAATGGGTGGGTGGGGGGGAGCCTGGTTGATGGGCTCAGTTTGAGGCATGCTAATCTGAGAGGTCCCTTGGGCACACAGGTCGAGTCTGGCAAAAGGTGGCGTGTTTCTCTGGAGTTCAGCGGGGGTGGGGCTGAACCCCACGGGAGTGGGGGTGGTAGAAACCATCTGCCCTGTGACTGGCGGTTAAGACCCCCAGGGAAGAGCAATCACTGAGCAGAGGAGGGGGCTGAGAGGGGCAGATGGAGGAAGAGGAAAGGGACCGCCAAGGAGATGGAGAAGGAACAGCTAGGGGTCTCTGAGTCCAGCCGATTGTGGACAGATGAGGAAATGAGAAGCAATTAGCAATCCTGTTACTGTTGCAGCGATTGGGAAACAGAGTGGGAGTGGGGAGCAGGGCTGCCCCGTCCGAGCCTCAGAGCTGGCTGGGACCTCAGTCGATATTGGTTTCAAAGTCTACACACCCAGTCCCAGCCCTTGCTGGTCCCCACGTGACCTGGGCTGCTTGGGGTCTCAGGCTACCTCAGGACTCTGGAGGCTGGCGGGGAGGTGACTCAGGGTGCCAGAGGGCGGGAAGAGGAAATCCCCAGCACTTCCAGAGCAATTTGGTGGCGGCTGGCATCCTCCCCACTCACTTTCCACACATGGTCCTGTGGTAGCACCCATGGGAGAAGCTTCCTCCTCCACTTTCTCCCCTGAGACTGTGCATTTCCTGGGTATTTCACCTACAGTAGGATGGGGGTGGGGCAGGAAGAAACCAGAGAGGTAGAAATGGCCCCTTCCGGGGAATCAGGAGGGTTGGGTAATAGTAACTACAGCTGACGATTTCCTGAGCACACACCGAGCACCAGGTGCCTTCTAAGACAGCGTCACCTTCTTCCAGACAAGGAAACTGGGGCACACAGAGGTTAACGAACTTGCCCAAGTAAGTAAAGAAGCTGGGATTTGGCTCCAGAATTTTGTTCCCAAACACTGCTGCACTGGCCCTGGTCTGAAAGCTCCCAACAGCTTGCTGCGTGAACTCAGATGAACCGCAGCCCCTCCCTCCCAGCCTCAGTCACCGCATCCAGAATAATAATGATAACGTTGTTAGCACCTACTGTAGCTCAGACCCTGTTAAGAACATGAGGACATGGCCTCTGCCTTCCTGGGCCTCATAGTTGAGTGGAGGAGTTGGACAAATAATTACATAATTTCAGTGGTCCTAGAAGCTGTGAAGGAAAAGCCCACGATGTTTCGAGCTGCAGCAGGAGTCTGGCCATTATTGTATTCCCTCAACGAATTGGTAGTCGTGGGCAAAAAAGCTTGGCAAGCAGAAAATTCTAAGACAGGGGTGACGTTTATCAGAGAGAGAGAATCAGGGGTCCTGTGTATATAGGGCAGGGTGCGCTCAGATTGAGGATGGTCAGGGAGGGCTTCCCAGAAGAAGTGGCACCAGGTCAGGGGGAGAAGTAAAGAGGACCTGGCCCCAGGATGACAGGCAAGTGAAAGAGCGAGTGCAAAGACCCCCAGCCATGCAAGAGGAGGCACGTTATGAGGGACGAAGCCAGCGAGACAGGCAGGGCCTGCTCACGAAGGGCCCCTGAGCCTCACCCTTTGGTGGTGGGGTGAGGAAGGGGTTACGTCGGGAGACCTGTGTGTCATGGGGCGGGAGAGCACAGGTGAAAGATGAAGACCTGAATTCGCGCTCTGCCGTCACCAAGGTCAGCAGCCTTGGGGAGACTCCTCTCTGCACTCTGGACTCTCCCCGACTCCAAAATGGGGACCATGGAAGTATTTACATCCCTGGAGGGTTCAGAGGTCACATCTGTAACAAGCACAGCTGGAGAATCCCCACGAGAGCAGGGACCCTGCTCACTGCTGCATCCCCAGGGCCCAGAACAGCCCCGGCACATAGTAGGTACTCAGGAAGATGCAAGGCCACTCCCTGTGTCTGTCTTTCAGCAAGTCCGCTTTGCGCCACATGGAAATAGCCTGGCTGCCAGGGGGTTGGATGCGGGGAGCTGAGCCTGGAAGTTGCTGTATCAGGGCAATGCCAGGGGTGCAACAAACCCGGCTGCAAGTCCCACTAGAATAGCTGTCCCCTAGACACCTCAGCCGGGACCCCTCTGAGCTGAAGTCAACTCAGAGCCCATAGATTCATATCGCTCATGAGAAGTGCATTTTGGGGGCCTGCACGGGAAGGGCTGAGTAAGGCGTGGAAAGACCCTTAGGCAGCAGCTAGTTCAGGTTTTGTGCTGCCTGCACACAGTAGGTGCTCAAAACATGTCTGTGGGAAGCAAACTCCCTCCCCCCATGGAAGTCCTTTCCATCTTTTAGACGTCTCGGGTCTTAGAAAGTCCTACTGCCAGAAATCTACTGCCCTCCCATTACATCCTCCGCTTCGGCCTCAAGCATCGGGGCTCACTTTCAGACAGGCATCCAGGTGCAGGGAGGCTGAGAGACCCCAGGGCCTGGCTCTACAGCTCCATGAAGGAGGGGAGCAGGGCGCCTTTCCTCCGTGGAGGGCCAAGGACATCTGCAAAGGGACGGGGAGCGGGAGGGAGGGGACACACTGTCCGGCTGGCCGGCTCTGGTCATCCTCTCTCTGACCCACGTGCTCTGAGAAATAGGAAGTACCACCAGCCTCAAACAGCAGCTGTTTTCCGAAGGTTTGGGTTGGCGTGCCAGGCCCAGTCTCCAGGGAGGACTCGTGGGCTGGAGGGGCTGGGATCTGGTGGGAAAACCTCACCCCAGCCCCGAGCACCACCCTCTGTGGCTCTCAAAGGCCACTCTTGAACTACCCTCCAAGCATTTGCTTCTGCTGCCCCTCCCGCCATACACACAAGCCTTCGGGAATTCCACCCCGGGTTCCACTTCCAGCCACAGACTCCCCCACAGGCCCTCTGCTGCCCACTTCGGCCCAGAGCAGCCTAGCCCATCTCCAGTGACCCTCAGAGCCACCTCCACACTGTTACCACACTCTGATGTCCCCTGCTGGTGTCACCTGCTGTTCCAATCCAGGAGGGCAGGGGCCAATCCCTGTGTCCTCAGGTCCCCCTAGAGCTCGGAGCACAGGCCTGGCTACTGAGGAAACATCCAGAAAGTATCTCCTGAGAAACGAGGCGAGGCCCTGACAAGGCTGTGCTCTGAGCCCCAGCCTTGCCATTCATTCCATGTGACCCTCAGTAAGTAATTTATTCTCCTTGGGGGCTCAGTTTCCTCACCCATACAGTGACAGGATTGGACCACAAGGATCTAAGAACATTTTCCAGCTCAGTGGTCCATTCATGCCTTTATTCTTTCATTCATTCACTCACCAGCATTTACTGAGCACTTAGTCTGTACTGGCATTGTTCAAACCCTGGGGATATAGCAGTTATCAAAAGACATAAATACCCTATGGGACTTGCTTCTAATTGGGGAGCCAGTGGTAAAGAAAACCAATGAGTTGAGTATAGACTATTATGCCTGCAATGTAAGGACTACACAGGAAAAGGAAACAGGGCAAGTGTTCAGAGGGGGCTATCAAGGAAAGCTTCTCGGAGGAGGTGATATTTGAGACAAGCCCTGGAAAAGAGCCAGATTCTACGCCTCTGTCTGAACAGAAAATGAAAAGCCATTACTGAACAGTGTGGAGCAGCAAGGCCCAGCCTGGGCCCCAGGACACCTGAGTTCCCGTCCAGACTCTACCACCCACTCCTGCGTGACCCTGGGAAAGTCACTCCCCCTCTCTGAGCCTCAGTGTCTTCATCCGTGCCTGAGGGAGGTGAGCCATGACTTGGAGTTTCCTTAAAACAGTTCTCAGAGCCTGCATTTCTGAGTATTTGGGTTCTGACTCAACTCCAGTCTCTCAACTTTCGACGTTGATAAGGGGCTGCAGGAGGGCAGGCCTCCATCCCCCAAGGCCTGCCAGGAAGAGTGAGGAGGCCCCGGGAGGGCAGCGCCCCTGCACTCACCTCTCAGCACGCAGCTGTTGGGCCGTGGCCATGGCTGTCAGTGGTCCAGGGGAGGGGGTGGCGGAGGTTCTTTCCCAGCCAGGCCCAGGCTGAGTTTGCCCCTCACTTCCCTCCAGCCACCCTACGTCTCGGCTGTGGTCCCAGGAGTCGTCAGGAGCTGCCTTTAGGGAAACCCCAGCCTGGCTTCTCTCAACTCTAGAAGAGGCTCCTCCCCCAGGCCCTCTGGGGCTGGCCTGTGGCCCACACTTCCTCTTCCTCAATTCCCAGCTCTACCACAAGTGGGGAAGTACGCACCCGCTGACGCTGGGTATGCAGGAGTGCACTGATGTGGGGGGTGTTGGGGACTTCCTCGATGTCAGTTCTTGGGGCCAGGCTTCAGTTGGGCATCAGAGACCTCCTCTCCATCAGAGATCGGGTCCCTGTGCTGGCTCAGCCACCATGGGGACTTTAACCTTGAGGAGTCACTTCACATCCACTGACTCATCAAATCCAGCCTGCACCCCTTCACTGTTGAGACTTACCCAACCTATTCCCTAGGCCTGGAGTGCTGGCCTCCACCTTGCCTACCTTCCCAAAGGCCCAGGTCAGAAGCCACCTCCTCCAGGAAGCCTCCCTGGTTCCCCCAACGAAGTTAGCGCTCACAGGTGCTTGTGTCATATTAGAGTGTGAAGGTTGGTTTATGCTTCCGTCTTCCCCTTTTCCTGGAGCTCTGGGCTGTATTTTCCTCATCCCTAGATCCCTGGGCCTGCACGGGCCTGCCATAGCCAATCCTCCCTACAGGGCTGTCACATTACAAACCTGATCACACCATTCCCTGCTTAAACTTTAACTGCTTCACCCTGCACTTAGGAGAAAGTCCAAACTTCTAGCCCTGTCTGCCTCCAAAGTTCTGAACACCCTACTGGCTTCCCCAGCCCCCTCTCCCGGGCTGTTTCCTTCCCACACTGGCCACTAGTCCATTTCTAGAATGTTCCAAGATGTTTTCTCCTCTGGGTCTTTGTGCATGCTGTTCCCCTGCTGGAATGTTCTTCCCTGTCTCCTTTAGGGCTCGACTTGGAAGTCACCTCTTTAGGGAGACCTTCCCTGAACACTCACCCTACGTATGTCACCCTCTCTCTGATATTCTCTCCCAGATCCCTGTACTTTTGCTTTAGAGCATTCGGAACTATTGTAACTTCATGTTTGTTCGTGCATTTATATGTTTGACCACTGTCTTCCCAGCTAGCGCAGTGCCTAGCGCATTGCAAATGCTTACCCAATATTCAGGAAATGAACACAATGCTTCTAGTTGGTGATCCTGTGGCCCCTCTAACATGTCTGGCTATTGGATTCCGAGGGAGCTCTCCCTAGAAGTTCACAGCCACACCCAGGAACCCCCAACTGGTCACACACACACACACACACACACGCACACACATACACACACACACTCATATTCCCATTCATATAAACTCATGCATCACAGATACAAAGTAGAAAGGCAGCAGGAAGAGGATATAGATGATGGGGAAACCGTGCCCTGTGCCATCACAGAATGGGCCCTTCTGACTCGCTCTGCCCCAAACCCATGCTGAATTAAGACCCCCCCAGGACTGGGACAGGGTTCTGCGGGGACAAAGCCGGCTGGGTGGAGCCTGGAACCAGGACTTCCCACTGCAGTTCCTTTGTTATTTCCCAGACACAGGGACTGGGAATACGAGCCATTCTCAGGATCCCAAGGGCTGTCTGGCTCCAAGAATGAAGGGCAGCTGGGAGCCTCAAGCCCTTCCTCTGAACCTCGTCCCGCTCTACCCAGCCACCCCAAGGGACCTTCTGCCCCCAGGAGAGTTCAGGGTGGAGGCAGAGTCCCCAGGAGGAAATATGCTCTGGGCCCAGCACTACAGTCCTGACCCAGTGAGGACCTCCCTCCCTCTCTTCAGGGCCAAAGGCTCTTCTGAAACCAAGATCCTTTATGGACTCCTTGGGAGGCAGAGACTGCTTTGGAGAAGGACAGAAGAGAAGACAAGAAAGGAGAAAAATGGAGAGAGACACCCAATCAACAACTATTTACCAAGAAAGGCATTTAGAATATAGATATAAACTAACATGGCAGGGTGAACACAAGTTGAAATTTCCCATCCTACTCCAGGCATATAAAAACTGCTAGATAATAAATTTTTAGGTATTTTAAACACAAAGAGTCCAGCTCAAAAGCAAGAACGTGTAATTTTCCGATTTTAAGAGAGGGGAAATCTATACCAGTGAGAGGCACGCCACACCCAATGGGAAAACCAAGGGTGGAAATGGGTTCATAGGGCTGAGATTTTAATGCCTAATCTGGGACTAGGTCCAGGCTATAGGTCCTGCTCTGTTGGCAGGAAGTCAAACCTGCGCTCCCAGTGTGAAACTGAGTGTCAGAACTGATGAAAGGAATAGAACGTCTCAGCTATCAGCCTGGGGTCACTGCAGGAATTGAGATACTCTCCCAGGCCATGAGTGGAATGAGAGAGACATACACCAGATCAGAGCCTCAAGCCTGAAACGTGCACTGATCTAAGATCTAAGCTGCCCACATGGTATAGAATTCCCAAGCTGAAGCATTACCTCAAAATACTTTGGAGTCCATGAGCCTGCAGAGCAATAACGAAACTGTCCCATGGGCTCACAGACCAAGATTACAAATTGTGGAAAGAGCCTCTCCACTATGAAAGCTAGCTCATAGACCGAACGTACAGAAGAATTCACACCCAAAGAGCCAGAAATAATACAAACAATGACTCCGACCCAGTCCCTGGTGTCTCAGGGTTCCGCTCAACTGGAAGATGAAACAACTAAATGATCAGTAACAGGACAGGGTTACTTGTGGCCGATGTGGCCATTGTCTGTGAGTTCCAAGAGGGGCAAGCGCTGAGCCGCGGCTGGGGTCCAGGAGGACGCTGGCCTAGAGTTGGTCAGGAAAGACAGGAAGTGACAACAGTTTTAGCCAGAAAGTAGGATCCAGCACTGACATGCGATTGTGTGCATCATCATACGTGTATAGTTAAAAACACGTATTGTATACAAACGTGTTTATAAACACGTACAAGTCTGTGTAGACAAGCGTGAGTGTGTTTATGCTGTGTCTATCCAAGCATGTGATGTGTACAGTAGTGACATTGTGAGTCTGAGAGGATATATTTATATATATTTATTTATTAAAAAATTTTTTATTGCGGTTGATTTATAATGTTGTGTTAGTTTCTGGTATACAGCAAAGTGATTCCATTATATATATATACATATATTCTTTTTCAAATTCTTTTCCATTATAGGCTATTACAAGGTATTGAATATAGTTCCCTGTGCTATACAGTAGGTCCTTGTTGTTTATCTATTTTATATATAGTAGTGCATATATGTTAATCCCAAGCTCCTAATTTACCCTCCCCTTTCCCTTTGGTAACCATAAGTTTGTTTTCTGTGTCTGTGAGTCTATTTCTGATTTGGAAATAAGTTCATTTGTACCATTTTTTTAGATCCCACATATAAGTGATATCATATGATGTGTGTCTTTCTCTGTCTGACTTACTTCACTTAGTATGATAATCTCTAGGTCCATCCGTATTGCTGCAAATGGCATTATTTCATGCTTTTTATGGCTGAGTAATATTCCATTGTGTATATATCCCACATCTTCATTATCCGTTCATCTGTCGATGGACATTTAGGTTGCTGCCATGTCTTGGCTATTGTAAATAGTGCTGCTATGAACCCTGGGGTGCATGTATCTTTCCAAGTTAGAGTTTCCATCTTTTCCGGATATATGCCCAGGGGTGGGATTGCTGGATCATAGGGTAACTCTATTTTCAGTCGTTTAGGGAACCTCCATACTGTCCTCCATAGTGGCTGCAGAGAGGATATATTTAAATGCTGGAATCTAAGTGGGCACAAAATGACCATAAACATGAATACGTTTACAGCATGTGAACCTGGGTGAGCTAATATGTCCTTTTTCATCCTTTCTTTACTCATGTGTAAAATAGGTTTACCGAATGGGGTTGTAGTAAGAATTAACAAGAAAAAAATGTGTGAAAAGTGCCTAGATGTGGGAATTTCTAAATCTTATTCAAAGTTTTCAATGTGTACGTGTGTGTGTGTGTGTGTGTGTGTGTGTGTGTAGGGTAGAACAAACCATCAAATTCACCTTCCCAGGTTTCTCAAGGTCTTCCCTCCCCATCCCCGGCCCCCTCCACCCCCAGAAGCCTCCCGTGGCCCTGACTCGGCGGTAGGGGGCAGGGACAAGGATGTCCAGGGAAGGGCCAGGGGCCTGCGGTGGGCCAGCTCTTTCCCTCCCCAGCTCCTTCTCTCCCTTTCTTCTGTCCCTGCCCGTGGATCTGCTGAATATGGGTATTTTCCCTGTGGCTCCTCGTATACAGAACACTGCTGCTAATTTTACGCCCGAGCTCTGATACTGTGTAATTTGAGGCCAGACACTGTCAGCAGCGGGCTTCCGTCCCGCTGCCGCTGCGGTTCCCCGTGTCCCTCCGCCTCTACCACTGGTCTTCCGCTGCTGCTACTGCCGTAGAAGGAGAACGAGGCAGAGGAATAGCCAGGGAGGGGAGCCAAACCCTTCACACATTCCAGCAAAGCACATCTGTATCCAGCCTTTCTGGGTAGATACAAAGAAATGCCTGAAGTGACCTCCTGCATCTCGAGAACTGACTTGTGATAACCTCCCCCCTCCCCCTCCCCCCGCCACAGCCCGTGAGTAAAACTCACACACAAGTCATCCAGCTGTCTGAATTGGTAGCTCCCGGTCCGGGCAGTAAAGCTCACATATTTTATTCACAGAAGCATGCACGCTGGCCCTCCCTTTCCGCCAGGTTACTTTGAAGGTTACACCCAAACCTAACAGCTCAGAGGTTTGAAGCACAGAATCAGGAGGAAGAAAACTGCTAGGGGCAGTCGGAAGCCAATGACAGTAAAGTGACATTCAGACAGTGGCAAAGAGGATGCAATATGAAAAATAAATAGGCTCAAGTACCAAATGCTGGGGGCCACCCAGAGAAGGGGCATCGCTGCATTATGAAGGTTTACTAATATCCATTCATAACCACGTCTCCAAGGAAAGTTTCAATACACTCAGAACATATCTGAGGGATTGCAAGAGCCTGAATGAGGACTGGATCTAAATGTCACCAAATGCACAGCCTTTTTCAAACCTTACTCATTCGGGGGCTGTGGGTGTGCGAGATA